ATGTGTATAAGAGACAGCTGCATGGTGTGACACATGCATGGGCCCAGCATCTTACCTGCTTGGTCCTCGCTGTGCAGCATCACCCTGGGGAGCACCAGGAGAGGCAGGGACCTGGTGCAGCTGTCTTGATGGAAGAACAAAACAGCACTGCAGAGGGACACTGTAAATAAACGTGGCTTGGCACAGCTATCACCCACAGCCACTTTGTGACAGTCACTTCAAGAGTTGTTGCTTTGGGGACAAATAGAAGCAAGTGTACTTCCTTGCAGGAGAGGTTACATGGGATGGTGCAACTGTTTCTGTTATTCTCTGTCTCGTTTGTGGAAAGGAAGCAAAAATACAACAAATTGCTGAGAGAGGAGGTTTTACCTGAGAAGAGGGTAAGAGGATCACTGGCAAACACAGAAGTTCCTGTTTCAGGTAGGTACAGAAAATTTGAGGGCTGGGAGGTCTGCAATGAAATGTGGGGTATCATCCATGCCCAAACACCCCAGAAACCCTAGATGAGGTTCCCAAATCATCAGCAAAGGAGGAGAGAGGAAACTGCAGCCCATACTCCAACCTCCATGGCTTACCCATCTTGGTGGACAAAAGGCCCAAGGTCCTCATGGTGACAAGCCCAGGTCCCCACATGGGTGCTGAGCTCCTCCACCTCTGCTGCGTTTGCCATCCACTCTGCGTGTAGGGCTTGGAGGCTTAAACCTTCCTGCCTTCTCTCTTGAAGTGTCAGGGAAGCAAAGTAGGAGGGGGTGTGGGATTATCCTTGCAGTAGGTGCAGCAGATGGAGAAAACTCCATGGGAACTGCTTTCATCCACGTAGGAGAGGCCAGAGGGAGGGCGGGCTTCGCAGCTGACCTGCAGCAAGCTCCTCTAGACTAATATATCATGGGTGCTTTCATAGTTTCATGTCCATTACATTTTGCTGAGCTCAGGCATAAGGATACCGGGGATTTAGAGACTGTTTATTTTTGTTGTAAGGAAACAGGAAATAGTACACAAGGCTATAAATATATATTGGGCTTCATATGACATCATGAACTTATGCAAGTGCTTCTCTTCTGAATTATGATGATGGACTGGTAATTCACAGGAGCTTTGGGCTTACTTTATTTTGCTGTTGCTGTAACAAAGCTAATGGTGCAATCCCGGGAGGGGGTATTTTATCAATAGTGAATTTTTGACCTCATTGCATACGTTTTAACTTCATGAATTAGTGACCCAGCTGACTGTAAAGCCTTCTATAGACTTATTATAAATCTATCACAGGACTGGCAAAAAACTTTGGCCCAGATCCTAAACTCTGACAGGCATGTGTTGATGGACTGCATAGCAAGCACTTCCACTAATATTTCTCACTAATTATACCATATATTAAGAAAAATGAATGAAGCCAATGTTTATATGCAGCTTTAACTGCTTTTGATGTAAGAAAGCAACACAATCTCTAATAAATTTTCACCTTCAACATTTCTATTCATTATAATTTTTACCATGATGAATGAAGTTAGAACTGGAGAGGGAGGGGGTTCATCTTGAAATCTGTTCAGTGAATGACTGAATTTACTTTCCTTCCCCAACTTGTGTTGAGGAAGGAGGGAACAGATGGACACAGGAAGAAGAGGGAGGCGAGTGTGGAACGAAGGAGATGGGTGAGGAACAGATGGAGTCGGGGGAAAGCGAAGAGGAGAGTCAGCAAGGATGGTAGGAAAGTTTTCCACTTGACCTTGAGTTGAAATGAAGATCTGCATATGCCATGGGGCAGCTAGATTTTGGGATGCATCCTTTCTTCTCTCTGTGGCACTTATGCCTTAGAATCTTGTGGGCCATCCCAGCAGTCCCGTCCATCCCAGGGGATCTTCAGAACCTGAACCTAGATTTTCTTGAGGGGACAGCTGCTGAGAAGGGCATCTGCACTGTGTTCAGGTCCCATAATTGGGGGAGAACTGTGTACAAATGCAGTACCCAAAATGAGTTGGGATGTGTTAAGTGTCCCAGGAATCCCAGACAACCCAGAAATTGGAGTTTATGATTCTGAAGAGATACCCTACTCCCCGTTTGTTAGGATCCAATGGCCAAAATACTAAAAGTGATTTATGATTTTTACCTGCTTCAAGTAAGACATTTGAGATGGCCAGATTTTCAGAATATGCTGAGCATCTGCACTTTGAGATGTATTGAATTATATAGGCCAAATCACTAGTAAGTCCTGGAAAATCTTGATTATATTCTTAATTCTATTAAATTGCCTGCATATAGTCCATTGGTTCTGGCTTTGCTAGCTGAAGAATGGAAGAGGTGAAAGTTAAATATTGGCCATGTGTGTCATTCCCTTTGAAGAAAATGGGAGCCATGTGCACTCACCTAACAGCAAAGTTTGGCCCCGACTATGATTTCACAGCTGGGCCCTAACTTCAGGAATGCCAAAGCACTAAATGACTCAATTGAGTAATCTGATCAATGCCGTATTTTCACTGTGGATTTAAACTGCACACACAGCAAGAACAGAGTTAGTTTTCTTCTCTCTCAAAATCACTTTTCTCTGTAGATTTGATAGCATAAATATGAAGTTTTGCTCTCGTCACACAAATAAGTGAAATGGCAGAAAACGTATGTCAAATAAAATGCACAACATTACATCCTTTTCGCTTTTTCGAGGCTGTTTAAGAAAATGGCTTCATTAATTTTGACTGAATAAAAGGTTCCTTTAAGGGATTTCAATAGGTGACATGAAAAGTGTTAATACAAATGATCAAGACAATGGAGGTTAAAACTGTTTTGAAAATATGTTTCTTTTATAGATCTCAGCTGTTGGAAGAGTTACAGAATAAATATACGGTAGTGCTGACATTCAGTGCTGTTTCATCTTAGCAAAAGAGTTTTTAATAAAGAAAATTCTTTTCAAAGAATGCTTTCTGCAGCCAGTCTTCAGAAAGAGGTTTTCCCCCCTCCTAGTTTAATAAAATTAAAGTAATTTATGTCATATTGATATGTCGATATGTTTTTCAATAAACTTTTTCACAGAGATTTTTTTAAAATTCTCTTCACTTTAAAAATTATAATTATATGTCTTCCTCCCACTTTGAAAATGGCACAAGGTGCTCATTTGCAGAGCTCTACTGTTCAAATCTTCACTGAGAATAGAAATGTCATGACTCAGTTAACAATGCTTTATTATTCACATTGATCTTTTTTTATAGTGTTCTTTATCTCAAAAACATTGTAAATCAGATATCTTCCTCCCACTCTTTTGTTCATTTGCAAATTTTTATTATTCTAGTTTAAAAAAGCAATGGAGTGTCAAGAGTCAGTGTATATTGTTTATGTTCTTTTTCGCTTTAAAATTACTTTTAACTATAAAAAGTAAGATGTACAGCAGGAAAAAAAAAAAGCTGGATTTAAGAATGCTTTAAAAAGAATTGAAGGAATCAGTGTGAATTTTATGTTGTTTGCTTACACTTTAGAGTTGTAACAGGCTTTGCAAGAAGGAGGACCAAACACTTTAAGAAAGGGGGTTTTTATGTGCTAATTCAAAAGTCCATGTTGCATCAGACATCATCACCCATGTTAGACACTGGACATAATTCATGCTCTGAGCGAAGACAATAGCGAAATTCACAACTGCTCTTGTAGCACGTTCACGGGACGGTTTACAGGTGCCTGCCCACAGACCTCCGCTCTCCATCGCTCTGTGTCAGAGCTTGGCGCCAGGTCCTCAGGAGCCCTTGGCTGGTAAGTGCCAAGAGAAATCACTGAGTTTCACAGGAACTTCGCAGCTTTGGTATCAAGTGTTAACTGCAGCAGAAATGTAACTTCAGCTGGTCGCCAGGCAAGGCAGTCACTGAAACCCATGGGTGCAGGGTGTAGGATATGGCCCTGCATCCTCTGAGAAAGCTGTGCCAGAGCCTCCAAGATTTGATCTTCCAAATTCTCCTTTAACCACTGTTTTCTTTCCTACCAAGTTTTTCTTTAGGTCTGTATTTATGTTCTGGCTGTTGTGCCTGTATGAAATAGCCTCCATGAAATAAATCCACTATAGCAATTGGGGCTAGTCCAGAGAACAGCAGGATCTCATGGCATTTCACATGCTGCTTGCTGATAGGTAACTTTTTTTTTTTTTTTTTTTTCTGTTGCCTGTTTTGAATTAATTTCCTCCAGTTTATGCACAGGGCATCCTGGCACCCTGTTGTTACTCCAGCAGCTCTTGAAAGAGATCATCCTCTCTGGGAGTCTCTGAGAAGGAGTGGCTATTTTTGAAGTTGAATTTAAGCCCCAGATTGGATTTTTGGATCTTGTAGGTGGTGTGGCAACTCTATCACATGAAACAACCTTAAAAAGCTTTTGTAAAGAAAAATAAAGTCTTATTTCCATATTCTTTTATTTCTTTCTATCTGTTTCAATGCTGCACTCTCCTGACATTTTTCTGAAAGGGAAAATTAAACAAACTCGGAGCAAGTAAGTCTCAAGCTGAACCCGATCTGAAAACACACAGCCCGTCCTTCTCCCTCCAAGTGGAGGGCTAAGCATCTATTTGGTTTTGTTAATGTCTGTGGGTCAACCCAACCACCATAGGGCTGCGCTAGTCCCTGTCCCCTCCCTGGGCTGCAGGGATTTGAGTCCCTGAGGCCACCCCACTGATGGGGCTGCATGGACACCTCGCACCAGGTTCTGGGTCAGGTCTGTGCCAGTGCTCACGGGCAGCTGCTTGTTTGTATTGCTGGGATAACTCAAAACTCTTGAATTCTCTTTATTCATCACTGCAGAGTGTGAAGCTGGAGATTTTGATGCATTACCTTATCTGAATTGATCACATTGTTTTCAAATTAAAGACAAAACCAAACATCATTATTATTATTATTATTATTATTATTATTATTATTATTATTATTATTATTATTATTATTATTATTATTATTATAATCCCTGCCTCAACAGCACCGCTGCATTAATTCTGTCTTCCTTCCTTCCTCTCATGATTAATTACTCACCCTATCGATGAGGTTAAGACTGTCTGCCAATATGATCAAGTTTCAGACACAAAATCCTAACCAGAATGGAGTAGCCAGAAGTGAACAGGGCTTTATTTAATAGACTGGCACAGTAAGTAAAGGTAGGTATCACCCATGGACATGCTGTGTAATTGCTCACTCTGTTTAGTTTGGGAAATTTATAGGTAATGTAAAACAGAAAATACTGAGGTTACAATTTTTTTTTTTTTTTCAATGTAGAACTCCATGTTATTAAATTTGGAAAGCACTTAAAATTCTCAGTTTTATTTTTGGTAAGCACTATGTATTGAAAAACGAAAATATCAGAGGGATCTCTAGGCAGAATTTGTGAACTTTCCGATGAAAAGACAGCACAGCATCTTCCTTTAGCGTCCCAAGGTCTTTGGCAACTGTGCCACTTTCTGAATGACCCTGAAGTTATGTGCCAAGAGTTTATTCCCAAAGCAGGTATTACACATGGTTATGGTCACAAAGATATCCTTGCACAGCGATAATACCAGAGGAGCTCTGAGGCTGTCAGCATTTTGATTTGGTGTGGGGGAAACACCATCAAAACCACATATATTCTCAAAATATATCCAAACAGTTCAAACACCGTCAGAGCTGCAATCACAGAAGATGCAGCATTTTACATAGACGGTCCTTAAAGCTCTACTTGTGGTAAATTGGCACGTGATAATATATGAACTACAAAAGCCCATGTCTTCTAATTAAAGCTTTCATTTTATTTGAATCCTACGATGAGTGGCAATTTGTGAGAGTCTTATGTCTTCTAGAGACTTTCCTAGCAAACACTTCCATTTTTATCTCTCTAATCTGCATGCCATACTGGAACACAACTGGGAGCTGGACTTGTCCGCTGTAGCAAACATTATTAATCTTATTACCATCTGAGCACCTCCCGAGGTGCTGCTGAGCAGCCTTTGCTGGACTGTGCTGAAAAAACATTTATTTAGCTCCGCAAGGGCCTGATCCAGTATCACCAGATGTCAATGGAAAGATTGCCAGGGAGCTCAACAGATCAGGCTCCAAAACAACCTCCAATATGGTAGCCTTCTTTGGGTTTCTTTGCTCTTTTCCTTAGAAAGAGTTGTAGACAAAGCAATTAGAAATATCTGAAACAGAAGTTGTACCAAGCTGTACATCTTTTCACAAAACATTTTTTTTTTTTTTTTCTGGGGGACACCAAAGATGCAGAACATCTATTCTGGGGGCACACAGATGACATCCGCTGCTTCTTAATTATGTAATAAGTACTTTTAGGACAGTGTAGTCTTGCCAGCTCTGGCAAAGGCAAACATGGTAACTGTTCTGCTCGCAGTATTAAATACACTTCTCTCCCTGTGCAGTGGAAGGATGTGTTTAAACTCGCAGTCTATCACTATTCCTGGATAGTGTAGGAGAGTCCAGGAACACTCAAGATGTCTTTTCCTGCGTATATTAACTTGTTCAGAACAAAATAGTGTTCTTAGAAAATATGAATCTTATGGCAGAAGAAAGTTTCCTTCAGGACTGTGCTACAAAGGTTTCCAAGCCAAATGCTTGTTCGTTTGGGTGTATGAAATATTAGGTTCAATCTGCTCACAAGCACAAACACGCCATTTCTTCTCACCGTGGCACTTTCACTGTGGTCATTTCCACCTGGCTTTGTAATGTTGGCAAGTGCAGTACAAACACAATGTCTTCATTATACGAGCTTCCAGAGGAGAGCTGCAGAGTTCCTGCAGCCTCAGTGAAACGCCAGCCTCTCCCCAGCGCCGGCTGTTTGAACCGCTTTGCAAGGAACTGCACTCCCAAGGAGTTTTGCTAGTGTCAGGTGTGAGCAGTGAACACCAGAGGTTTCAGGTGTTGCTAGATGGTAGGTCATCACCTTCCCACCCGTCTGTGGACCACGCACAAGGATCAAAGGGTTAGTTGAGCAACCTTCAGTGCCAAAGCCCCAGAGGCAGCACCCCTCATCTGCCCCCCTCGGTGCTGCAGGCATGGGGGCACGTGAGAGCTCAACTCCCTCCTCAACACTTCCTCATGTAAAAACTTTCACTGAAGCTTTTGCTCAGGTGTACAACCCCTTCCAAGAAAGGAGGTCACAGCCCAGGCCCTGAGAGGAAAAAGTGAGTGTCAATGAAACAGAAGAGGTGTCACTGTTATAAACACAGATTAGGCAAAATCTAACCCTCATTAATCCTTCAGAGCAGGGCCTCTGGTTTGTTCTTTTTTCAATCTATTCTGTATTCAAAGCAAGTACATTTTTTCTGTCACTATATCGCTATTGTTAACAACTATAAATGTATTAAAAACACAGGGGCATTTTACTATGTGTATTGTGCATAAGAAATATTGTTACATGACAAGCTCCAATTGGCAAGTGAAAAGAGGTTTTATTGAAGGAAATAGCAGTAGCAAACAGTGAACTATGCAGAATAATGGTAATTGTTCCTTTAACATTGGCAGCGCACGTTCACTTAATATGACTGCTCCTCTGTCTCTGCCTCATCCAGACCCAGAGGACCTGTTAGACAAGCAGGCAGCCACCTCTCTCTGGGATCAAGCTGTCAATGCAAACTTGCTTTCTTTCTATTTCTCGGAGCTAAGCTATACCCCCAGAGCTCCTGAAGCTTTTCCTGAGTGAAAGCTTTAAAAAAGCTCCATTCTAAATTACATCACACGAGCTGTTCTCTTCAGACTGACAGAACAAAAGCAGGGGGCGGGGGGGGGGATAAATGCCAAAAGTACCATCTGAATGACTTCTGACTTGCACGGAATGATTTACCTCCTCATCCTTTATCAGAGCAGACCAACATCATCTTGACCTTGCCTACCAAAGCCCCAGCAGTGCCCTCTAACTAACCGAGAAAGTTTGCAGTGTGTGTTTGCAATACAAATAAATGCAGCACTGTTGGGTGTAGTCTTTTTGCTTGCAACAACAGGGTCTTGGGTGCACCATTAAGAAAGGTCCTAATGGGGGCATGGTGCTTTCTGAACTTTTTAAAATGACATGGTCTTTAACACAGACAACTCATCACTACTGGAAGAGCCCAGCCTGCGGGTGCTGTACAGCCTTGGCGTGCTCACACTCTAATCAGCAACACCCCAAATAATAAGCATGGTGAAGACTACTGAGGGCCATTGCCCTGCCACTACCAAAATCTGAGAGGCCTCTTGGTTTGGCTTTATCTGGGAATTTCCAATTAAAGGTTGTCATCAGAAGTAAAGGAAGCAGAAAAGCATTGCCCACTTCTGCTGTGGCTGAGTAGAAAGCAGATAAATTGGCTTATCTCCCCCTCCTAAAGGCTTTCAGGTGGTATGGATTGGTTCAACAACCCTCACTGAGGAAAACATCCTCAGCTGGGAAGGGAGGGGTGCCATGGGCCTTCCTTCTTCTTCAGCAGATAAATAGAGGTAAAAGGAGACGAGCACTGTTATGACTGTTCTCCAGGTAAGGTGTCAAATCAGTAGTTTTTGTCAGGTAGCTAGGTGTCAGTTTATGGGTTGCCTGATCCCGGAGTAACCCTCTGAGATCCTGAAAATTGAAATGAGCAGGTTTTGTGTGGCTTGTAGGCTGATTATTTTGTGGTTCTTACTAAATTTTTATAAGAAAATGGTTGTGGGGTTAAGAACTTGTTATCCTCATACTCCAAAGTTTGTAGGCTTAGCCCGCTGCCCAGCACTTCCATGCTTGTTCTGCTGTTTTGAGTAAACCTTAAAATATTTCTCTGTCATTCATACAAATAGTCTCATTTTAAAGATGGGTTGAAGGCTGGAACAGATGATGAGTCAATATTAAGGCAAAAAATGTTGCTTATAACCCCATGAAATTAGAAAATTGAGCTTGTTTGCTTGCGTGAAAGGTGCTGCTTCAGTAGTTTGTAAAGATGTGGTGCTGTGGGGAGAAGGAGCTGAGAAGGTGGGGGAACTTACCTGACTCTCCAAGGGGCTGTAGGATGGGACTGTCCAGTTCTGGAAAACAAGAATGGGAGAGGAAGGCTTCACTAAGCAGAAAAGCTCCTCAGCTGGTGAGGTGCTTTGTTATCCCATACAGGCACCAGGTTTTTGAAAATGTCTCAAAACTGTGTTATTATCAGAGGAAAGAGAAAAGTCAAGCTATTGGGGCTGGTGATTTAGTCCTCTAATTGATAAGCATGGAAAAACCAGCTCTTAATAGAAGCAGGGAGATATCCCTTCCTGTTAAGGATCCAGTGTCCTCTGGCCTCTCACTGAAATGAATTTTTTCCCCAGGGCACACGGGTAGTTTTCATGTGGTCAACACAACTTGTCTTGCCCAGAGGATCAGAGACTCACTGAAGATCCTGACTCCCTAATGCACAGTTCATCCCTGGATTTCTGAGTGAGTAAAGTTTATGGGTTTTGCTATGTCTTTTGTTGGCTCACGTCTGTTGTCTTCACACGCCTGATCAGTGAAATGGCTCTGTCTCGATCCATAAGGGACCAGCCTAATGCCTGTTAAAGCTGATGGAAATGTTTGGCTTCAGGGCATAGTATATCAGGTGTTGTATCTGCTTCCTATGCCAAATTGTGAAAATCTTAATTAGGCAAAATCTTCATTAAAATAATTGCAACCAAGGAAAAGACTGGTAATGAACCTGAATACAAACCTCATCATTGTGTGCTTTATCATACCCCTGTTTCTACCAATGGTGTGTCTGAAGATGCTGGATTTCTAGTTTTTGAAGTTAACAGAATAAGATATTCAATATAACCACTGTAATACATGGTCTAGTTTTCTGAAACATGGCTTTAGGATATGGTGGAGGTTCAAGTTTAGTTCGCCCGTCTTTATTCTTCTGTTTCAGCATGGCAATACTTCCTACACTTTTAGGTATACTAGAGTGTTGCATCGCCTTTCACCACCATGTTATCTGAGGATCTCAAAATCAGTCACGATAGCAAAGCAGAAAACTCCACGTTGTTTGTAGCACTATACATTTCTCCTCTGCTTGGAGGGGAAGCGATAGGTCTTATCTAAATGACTGAATACATGGGTGGCATTGTGGGTGGGATTTTGTGCCACACAGGGATCACTCAAAGAAATAATATTCTGTAGCTGTTTTAGTAAAACTGGATCTGAATGAAAAACGTGAAAATTACTAGACCAACTTGTAAATCTTAAGTTGTAATAGTGGCAACCACAAGCTTGCTTGCTCATCAAAGGAGGTGCCGTGGTTCTACTTCTAGGCTCTTGATCCAAACACAACTGGCCTTTCCACAGGACAGCAGTGAAGCTCCTCACGGCATGGGGGCAAGTGTGCTTGCGGGCACAGGCTCGTGAGTCTCTGACACTACGTCCACAAGCAAGACTTTGAGTCCTTGGGGCAATGTGTGCCTGAGCAGGGATAATTTGCTTATGCCACCATGCAGACCACACTTCCCTCCAGTGATTCACATCCTCTATTGTTCTACCTGATACTAGCTACTAGCTACATGCTTTGGGATGGACCTAGTGAATTATTTGCTCTCATCTGGACTGAAGTCCAGAAAGTTTACTTAGAAATCTGTAGATAACTTTTCTCCCTTTTCTTCTACAAGTACATGTAAGCCAAGTTTTATGCTCTCCTTGAGCTTTACTAAAAAGAGAACAGAAACGTATGCCTTATTCCGTGCGTTTATTTCAAGCCATGATTCTTCTGGGAAGTGTGATTTGCTTACATCTTTCCATAACAAATGACAATGGTTAAGGTTGCATCTCTGCCAACCTCTTTCTAAGTGGTTTCAAGTAGTTTGCTTAAAGAGGGATTATTTCAACTGTGATGCTATATGAGGCAGCTCTGAGGTTGCATCTAGGCTGCACAGAACAAGACCACCTAACAGTAGCTTAAGGCAGGATATTTAATGTCCAACAGACAGTAAGATCATAAAAGCATAGAGTGAAAGTTTGCAAGTGTGCTGTACCTGAAATAAAATTAAATTGCTTGACTTTTTCCTTTCCTGATTGTACCAGAAAGACTGGGAAAGGCTAGCAACATCAACTGCCTATTGGAGGTGATGACTGCTGAAATCCTGCCTGTCCCTCAGCGAGTGCTTGCACTAACCCTTCAATTCCTGAGTACCTCAAATAATCCCCTACAAAGCGGGGACATGTATAGTGCCTAATCATATATGACCGGGGGCTGAAGCCATGTCTGTAAGCTAATATATGCTCTGTAAATGCAGTTGTCAGTGTCTTCTGGTTGGCTTGTTCAGCTTCGGAAAGTCTTAAATTTTCATGTAGCAAACTTCCTACAGCTATTACAGCTTATGGTCACTAGTTAGCTACAGCAGGAAGGTCAGACTTTGGAGACTGTAGTTGCTTTTCTGCCTGTAAGTTTCCTCCCCCTTCAAGTCTGTTTTCTACTCTTGACAGTACCCTGCCTTCTGTTTAAAGGCATTAGTAATACCAAATAAAGCTAAAGATGCTTGTTACAAAAACTAAGTTGTTTCCTTTTTAATCAGAGCACATGGTTATGCCAGGTTTGGCATGAAGAATCTGTGTATGTGTCTGGTTTAGGGCACAGTAAGCTGATCATTTGTTAGAAGACTACTGCATTACATATAATTTTGCTTTTAGTTGTACAATATACCGGGAGGTTGATACAAGCATTAGTAATCTAATTTTTGCTTGGTTGGAGGTGTTGGAAATACAAAGAATGGGAAATAAGGTTTTTGCCATGTGTGCTGAACTGTGGTTTGGTAGCAGCAGTTGGCTTGTAGTGAAGTGGCCATCAAAACCTTTCTTGGGGTGGCAATAAATGAAAAATAATCTTCAGAAAATATATCAGTTTTCAAAGAGTGAAGAAAGATGCAGCAATTATTGAGACACAGGTTTGCAGTCTGTTTCTGATTATCCTTTTGGCTGGAGAGTTGGGATTTCTAATTGTAAGGTTAAGGAATCCTTTTTATCTATCTCTTGCCTCCTAATCCTATGCTAGACAGTATTGTTTTCTGTGCCTTTTGTCTTCTGGGGAAGGAGACAATCTCTGGCTCATGTGAACATCTTGTTAAAGTCTGCTGACGATTAGGGGGTGTGACAGTTTTCTTGCTGAGCCTTTTTTATTGGGGATTTTTATGCCTGCTTTTCTGGGAGGTCTTTGAAATGTCTTTTATGTAGCAATCATTTCACTCTTTCTTTGTTGTCTCAAATGTTGAGGCTGTATTCTCATCTGTTCCTGTTTATATTCCATACTAGCTGGTCATGACGGTTTAGCTTGAAACTATCATCACACTGCATGCTCCTGAATCGCGGGAGTGTTGTGAACTGTTCTAGGACAGTTGCAAAATCGAGTTTTATTTTAGGGCATCTGAAGCTTTATCATGGTTGTTTAGTTTGAAAGGCTGTTAAAGAGGTTCCAGATGAAAAAGAATAACCTAGGAGCTGGACATTTCAAGTGTCCACAGCTAGGTATAGGCATTTAAAAATGCTGCTGCTATGAGATAGGCCCCCCTTAGGGTGGTGTTTGTAATACCAAGCTGTAGCTAAACTCCTACAATAATCAATGGAAGGGACAAGCCTGTCCTGCTGATGGCAAGTCGCCCCATCTTGACAGAAAAGTTTAAGCCAGGAAAAAAAATTTTCCTTTGGAAGACTTGTTTTGTCCCTGTGTGCTCCCCACCCACCTGCAGACAATATATAGATAATTATGTAGACCAGAAACCAAACTTCTAGGTGACTAAAGTTAGATAATACAAAGAATAACCCTGTCCAAAGAAATTAGAGTTTTGCTTTTCACAAGAAGTTTGGAAAGCTTTGGTAATTTTACATTTAAATTTCAGAAAGTTATGGGATTGGTCAGTGTACTTAAGTACAGGTAAAAACCAATATTTTGTTTCCCCAAATATTTATTAAATCAATGTTTTAGTGTCTTCAGTGGCTATCTTAAGACATGTGGATTTCTCATATATATATATATCTATATATATATCTATATATATATATTTTTATATATATATATTTATTTATTTATTTATTTTTTAATGAGATGTCAAGCATGTTATTACTGATTACCAACAGGGCTTATTTCTGACACTGTAAGCTCAGGTAGCAGCTGGGGAGATCCCAGATTCACTGTTAACCAAGGAGCCGGGGTTATGTAGTCTTGCTGATAATAGAGGAATTGGAAGTAGGTTTCTGAGACATATGGAAAAACTGGTTGCACCACCTTCTTCTTTGAGAACATTGAGGTAAAATTTGTGTTTTCATGAAGTCATTGTGAAAACTGAGTGACTAACGTGCACAACATGCTATTTCAATTTCTTAATGTAGCTAAACTCTTATTTGTTTCACTAAACAGCGTATCATATCTTTCCAGAGGAAGAAGCTACCTGCTTAGATGTTTCTTTTCCTCCAATACCTTCCTAAAAGCTGTTTTTTCTCTCCCTATCAAGAAGTTGCCCCACATAACAGCATTTCCACCTGCCTTCGCTTGTCTGTAGCCTAATTTTTAGTGTCTAAAGCCATATATAATATGGTTCCATTTCACACTTAACCACAAAACCCATTCTTCCAGTTATGATCTCCGTTTATTTTCTATTGCACGTCTTTTTCTTGAAGTATTTTATACATTACATAATATGCAATGATATGGCACTGATGTTTATCAAAATTGTTTCACATCGTACCTATTTCTATTCCTGTCTTTTGGATCAAGTACAATACTGCTAGAGATTAATGCCACCTTTTAAAATAGGTTTAATGTGTTTGTTTTCTTACCACATTCACTCTATCCACTAAGTTGTTATATGGATTATGTTTAGTGGGAATCTTGTGGGACTATCAAAGGGCATTTATTTTCTATTGAAATAACAATTAAGATAACACACAACTAATATAGTAATCAAATAAACGTGACAAATAACAAACTTTTTTTAAAGCTGCAGAGGCATGCTAACAAATCTATTTGATCAATATATGGGATGTGAAAAAAGAGGAGACAAGATTGACTGATGAATAAAATGGAACTGACACA